AATCTGAGTCATTCTTGGAGTTTCAATACATTTTCTGCTGTGACAATCCTTTCGTCTTCCCCCATATAAATCCATATCACTTCATCGTGACGGATGCACTCAGTATGACAGGATTTTCTGCATCAGTGTACTTTTTCAGCTCTTGTTGCAGTTCACCTGCCCATTAAGCCTGCACCACATCCATACCTGCCACCCACTGCATATTCAAAGCAAGAACACACACACATACAAACAACAGGTAAAAATGCCTTCCGTAAAGGACAGAATTCCCATTAATTTTCATCACTAACAAAGCAATCCATCGCTGGAAGTCCTCTCAGCAAACACATCCCCTCTGTCAGACAAGAGAGGACCAGGGGGTGACTGGGAGCACTGGGCTGCCCTTGCTGCCTCTCTGGTCCTGTTTGTAGCTGATCCAACACCTCCTTCAAGAAAAAGCCTGAACACAGCTCCCTCCTAAGGCTGGTTTTGCTGGGAAGATGGGTGAGCCTGCACATTCAGGTCTAACTCCATCTTGGCTTTTAACAGCTTTCTATTAAACCTTGTTATCCACCTTCCCTCTGCAGACAGCAAGAAAACAACAAGAAGCTTTTCTGTACCTCTTACATACCTTGTTCTGTGGTTTAGGACAGATCACTTTCTGCATGTTCTCCTCATTACTGACTAAAGTAAAGAATTGAAGAACCAGCATCGGCTCATTTGCTGTCTTTAACCTCTAAAATTAGATAAAATGGGTTCTACTCCTGAAGTGGCCTGAGTCTACAGTGTCTGCAGATTGCCAGGTGCTCCAGGCAGAGAGGTGCTCCTTGATATTTTCCACTGTAGGCATGAAATCCTCTTCTTATTTGTGTTGATTGATATCCTAGGGACTTCAGATATCACGCACAGCCATGGAGAAGCTGTCTGTCAAGAGCCTAGATAATTCTGAAATAGCTTACAATAAGGCATAGAAAGACTGCTGCAGATGCAACTATTATTATAGTGCAGCTCACTCCTCCAGCCTGGAGGGAGAGAAAACATACCCAATATATCTATGCATTTGGTGGCATGTTGAGTGTTATACTAAATACTTAGGAAAACAACAACTCACGTTGTAGCTACTGCAGTGAACATTCAAAGGAGAAAATAATAAAAAAAATCAAACCAATGAGTTATAAACTGTATGTGATTTGGAAGGGGAGTGGGGCAATTGTGTTAACACATACAATGCAGTGAGGCTGAATATTTCTGCTTACCAGCTCTGTGCTCTCTAATTTGCATCTCCTTCTTCTTGTATGGGCCTGAGGTTCTTGGTACAAGTTCTTATTTTCAACCTGCAGTTCACATTGCTCAGGGGCTCTGTGTGCAGACCCTGAGCCATGTCCCAGGGCTGGCCAAAGAGGTCAGCTCAGGTCCAGGATGCCAAGCAGATGTGCTGGCGTAGTACTGCATGTCATCTAATCAACAGAATTAATTAGGGTCACACAGCACAGCATTAGCACAGTGCCATTACTTCCCAGTTCCACAACCACATTGTATGAAAACGGATGGGTAGCCTCTGCCTAACCACAGAGATGTAAATATCTAAAAGAGCTTGTTTAGCATGAGTAGATTTCTATATTCTGAGACGAGTAACTTCAAATTAGACCATTAAAATGGTCCATATTTCTTCAAAATATATCCCTCTGTAGCATGACCCATGAAGGATTTCTGCATTTGTTATACTCTTGATTACCTCTACCATTCTCTGTCTCTTTTTTATGAATATGTCCAATTTTCCCTGAAATAAAAAATTGCTCATCATTTACTAACCTAATAGACAGCCGGTAATTGGTGCCCTTGCAGAGGCTTTGGGAAACATGGAAGCATTTGTATTTACCTGTTCTTAAAAGTGCAATTTGCTGCCATTAATGGAACACAGCAGTGTGCCATGGTGCTATTACATTAGCTAAGGAAAAGACTCCATAACATAAAAGTGGCAAGGGAAATGCCACAAGCAGTGAGGGTGTAGTCAATGCCTGAGGAGTCACTGGCACACTCGGAATAAGGTTGGGACATAACTGTGCCAAGAAAACTTGTCTGGCTTTTATCCTGCCAAATAGTATTATAATAGAATTAATAACAGGGCAATAATTAATAAATAATTAAATATTAATAGCATTATTACTGCATTCATGTACATTACGTAACACACATCACAGTCATGTAAATATTGCATTACATGAACTGACACATTTTTATTTGAAACTGCACACTTCTACAGCCAGCTCACTGTCAGCATCCCCCTTTAGCGCAGAACAGCAAACAATGAAGTGTGCGTTCAACTGAAAAATCCCAGATGCTTTAATGTTAATTTCAAAAGGAAAAATCTCTATTTATTTTCCATCTCAACTGTAAAAATAAAATATTTCTAATCATGCAGAGCAAGAACTAATCTTTATCTTCGAGATACATTCTCCTATCCTTGTTGGGATAGATACAATAAAGAACACTGAATAAAGCTTCAAGAAATGAACTGCAATATATTTTTCACTCTCCTGGCCCTTCTTGCCCTCTCCATCTGCCATTTAATTGAGGTCATAGTGACACAGTTCCAGGAGTGGCCTGATAGACCAGTAATCCTGGTTTCCTCCTGAGCTCCTACACTTACAGCCACTCAGCATCATGTCCCTGGCGGGGTCAGAAAGTTTCCAGGAGAGAGAAAAGTGGGAGTAGGTGCAGGTGGAACATTCACTTCTTCAAGTGCCCTCCTGTGTTTCTACAGCCCATAATTTTCCTCTCAAGATCAGCCTGGCTGCCTTGTTGGCATTTTAGTAATAACTCAAATCAATTTTGTTCCCTTATCTGTAAGATTGAGTTCAAGCTGAACAGATCTCAAGTTTCTTTCTCAGTTTCCATAGAGTGCTTAATGTATGTGGATCAAAACACAGACCAATTTGGTGGCTATTTTAGAAGTGTTTACTCACCTCAGTTATGATGCTATGGAACCTACAGGGAAGAAGAAAAAAAAAAAGGAGAAATAGAAATAAATGCGATATCAGTGAGAGACTGGGGATGAGAAAAACCCTGAAATGTAAGTAGAGGTGCAGAAGGTGTCCAGTCCTGCAATGTTCCCCTCCCACAGAACTCTGACATAGTCAATCTCAGCCTCAACCCAGCACTCTAGCAATGATTTCCCTTTTTAGTGCCAACAGTAGTTCAAGATCTAATTCACATTATTTTGACAGTGTTAAAAAGCAAAGTAACCTTTTCCAGGTGAATCCCTAAGGAAGGCAGAAGCAGGTCAAAGGAGCACACTTGCAGCTCCCCAAGCCAAGTAAACTCAGCGGTGTGCTGAGCAAAAATGCCTCCGTGCAACGCTAGAATCAATCAGCAGATTCTTTTTAATGGAGATAGTTTGTGTGAGAGACAATTTCAGCAGGTCTGAAAGGTATCATAGGAAAAGTGTTTCTGTCCTTTAGCATAGCTCTTGTGGTATGCTAGATGCCGCTAACAATTTAAATGAATGCTCAGTCGTAAGGCAAAAAAAATCCTTTGAGCTCCACACGTCAGATGCTGCAGTGGGACTGGACCTTTGTTCCTTACCTCCCGCTGCTATTTTTTGAGGACAACTGTGCTTTTTGCAACATTTTTCTTTAATTTCCAAAGTTTCTGGACTACTACTAATCTAGAAGTTAAAGCAGGAAGAAGTATAAATCAGAAAAACTGTTTGAAAGTGATAAGACACTTCACTGTGATGCCTTCTGTCACAGAATCACAGAATCATTAAAGATGGAAAAGACCCCAAAGATCCCCAAATCCAAACCCAGGCCACCCCCCCCATGCCCACTGACCATGTCCCTCGATGCCACATCTCCACAGTTCTGGAACATCCCCAGGGATGGTGATCCCCCCACTTTCCTGAGCAGCTGTGACACTGCATCACTGCTCTTTCAGAGAAAAAATTTTTCCTAATATCCAAACTGAACGTCCCCTAGTTCAACTTGAGGCCACCATCTCAACCAAGGATCAAGAATTGATCAGGAGTTAAATACTCTATTGTGACACAGTCATCGTCCTTGTAGATCAGAAAGTTCATTTACAGAATAGTTTTCATTCAAGAAGAAGCAATTTACGAGCATCCAAGTAACTTTCATTCTAGAGGCATTAAATACATCTTTGGAGTAACATGATCTTCAGAAAGATCCCTGATCTGATCCCCAAATGAGATCAAATTCCATAATTCTCTAATCTCCTATCAGCCCTTTTTGCAACCCTCAGTGCAAATTCCATGTGCACTTTGACACAATGCTCCCTTATAAACGCTGTGAAATATTGTATTGTGAGAAGAGCAGTTAAAACCCTGTGTCAGATTTCAGGAGAAAAAAATATATAGTCCTTAAAAAGAGGCTGAAACTGTATAGATTGCCATATAGATGTCATTCCATAGGAATGACTACAAAGACAGGATGACTTTCTGCCAATCACACTCTGTTTCCAAGCATTTACTGCTGCAGAAAACAGAGAATAAAAATCAGCAGAGATATGAAAGATAAAATCATGTCAGATTTTCTTTTTGTGCTTGTGGATAGCAGAATGTAGTATGAACACAGTTTTTTTGTGCCTGGCTTCCCACCACATGACAAATACAAGCGTCTCACAGCAAGCTTCTCATCCTATATTTCACATCCCCACCTCTCTGAATCCCACATCTTTCATTCAGTAAATGTATCTGCTACAGGAGGTAATACAAGTAGCCAAAACCTCTTTTCTTACTCTATAATCTAATGCACTTAGTGAGCCAATGAATATGTGTGAAAGGAGGGGCTTTCTGGCTTAGGGACTCCTCACAGGGGAACAGCTGTTACAACAGCAAACCCTCAACCGAAGCCAGGCAAACACTCATCTCTCCGTGGTTGTGTGCATCGAGGTCTGGCAAGAAAACTCCTCTCTCCTTCTCCCTGCAAAAAGTGAGTGAACGACCACAGAGGGACTTAAAGAAGGCTGGATATCAGCTGTGGGACATTTCAGCAAGTCCAGTGATGGCCTGGATCGGCAATTCCTCCTGGTTTAATCACCTTGCTCTGCAGGAACATTTCAGGAGGTACTTAAACAGCACTGAGGATTATTTAGCCTTCCTATGTGGGCCCAAACGCAGCCATCTGTTCTTGCCTATGGCTCTGGTGTACTCTGTGATCTTCGTTGTTGGGGTGATTGGTAACTTCTTAGTTTGCCTGGTGATCCTTACTCACCGGAACATGAAGACCCCAACCAACTACTACCTCTTCAGCCTTGCCGTGTCAGACCTGCTTGTGCTACTTTTTGGGATGCCTCTGGAAGTCTACGAGATGTGGAGCAACTACCCCTTCTTATTCGGTCCCATCGGCTGCTATTTCAAGACAGCTCTCTTTGAGACGGTGTGCTTTGCCTCCATCCTCAGCGTCACCACAGTCAGCGTGGAGAGATACTTTGCCATCCTCCATCCCTTCCGTGCCAAGCTGGAAAGCACTCGCAAGCGTGCCCTGAGGACCATCGTGGTGCTCTGGGTCCTCTCCATCCTCTTTGCCCTCCCCAACACAGGCACCCATGGTATCATGCTGCAGTATTTCCCCAACGGCACCCTGGTCCCTGGCTCTGCCACCTGCACTGTGGTCGTGCCCATGTGGATCTACAACTGGATTGTCCAGATTACTTCCTTCCTCTTCTATGTGCTGCCTATGGGGGTCATAAGTGTGCTGTATTATCTGATGGGGCTAAGAGTAAGTCCTGCTCAAGTGCTCAGTGTTTCTGTAACCCATTCTTGTGTGTTTGTGTCTGTGATTTCAACATTTTCTTGCCCATCTGTCTCGCCAAAAGTATATATATATAAATACGTATCCATTTGAAACCCCTGGAAACACCCCTTCTTTGCTGTAATCCTATTCTCAAAAGAATACAGCTATGCTTTGGAATAATATACCCCAACCTTTTTCTAAAAATGAACATATTGCTTCTCACATTCAAACGTTATTTAAACATCCCATTGATGATTCCAGCCTCTCAGAGATTTACACCTCTGTGACAGGGACTAGAAAGAAATAAAACAGAAAGAAAATGTGAAAAGAATGAAAAGGAGTGGGCTGGTGATAGAATCCCGTGTATGATTTGTTTTCCCTCTTCTTGTGACTGTGGAATTTCCATTACACCACTTTATTTTTTTCCTTCCCTGGAGAGGATGTTAATACTCAGTTGTTAAAACTCACAAAGCTGTCACAAACTGAAATGCTACTTGCTGCTGCAGCCAGCGATTTCAGCAGTCTTCTCTTTGGATAACTATAGCACAGCTTAGCCACTGATTAAGGCTACCTTAGAGCTCACATTTGGGATCTTTTCAGAAAGTGAGACTAGTTTTGCCAATTGTCATTATTTAAATAGAAGGAGAAAATAGCCAGCATCACAGCATTATTAACCTGTGTAGCCCAGTGTTAATAATCATAGAGAGTCTGTGGGTTTTTTTCTTCTCTTATGTTACATACATTTCAGAAATATGAATCCTATCTCACTGCACTGCATATAATTTAGAGTTTAAAATGCTGTGTCTGATCACAGAGAAAGAAAGGAATGCAACATGCTTGTAAAGACTGCTTAACTTACCAAACAACATGCAAGAAATTTAACCCCATCTGTGCTAGTTCGTACACCATTCTATTGTTGTGGCTGGTATTTACTACTCTCTGGCACTACAGAAAAGCAATTCTTCCCTAAGCAGGAAAAGCCACAGGGATTATCTACCAGAAATCTATACATGCAGAAGATCTTTGAAGCAACTACTTTTCAGTGGCTGCTGTGAAATCTTTGCATCGTTTCATAGTTCCTAATCCTCACCCTAGAAGAGAAGCCAGGTGCCAAACAAGGGCTGCTATCCAGGGGTATCTGTTTATTGACAGATTTGTTTGAGCTGTCTTTCCTAAGGGCTGCAATATTTATCGTATAATGCCTTTGCTTTCCTGTATATCCAATTGTTATTTCCAAATTTTAACAATACGCACCCCTGGTTTGTCTGCATTGCATCCCAAATTGTGCTGGGCAAAGGTTTCATTTTTATGTTCAACAGAAATGACAGGGGAATGGTGTGTGTGTGATTTCCAACAGAAGACTTTTTTTCTCTACTCACAGCTGATGAAAGCCTTGAAGCTTCAGCAACACTGCAGAATCTCCTGAGTGCCATACATTGCTCACAGAGAGCAGTGGAAAAGTTCAGAGTTGATCCAAAGGTTGGACAACAATTCCAATTCAGCAAACAGCTCCAGTTCAGCAGGCAGTTCTAGCTGACTTTGTGGAAGGGGCATCTTATTGATATAGTTTCTCCTTCAAGCTTTGTCAAGGCTCCAGAGTTTGTGCCTCAGGATAAAACAGAAGGAAGCACGTGTGACACATTAGGCAGTTGTGAAAGGTTACCCTGTCATACGGTCAATTACTTAATTATTAATTTTATTACTTTTAAAAATAAATAAGTATATATTTCTCTTTCTCAAGAGGTAATTCATGGCCAGCAAAGACTTCAGGTTACTTCATCACCATTGCCTCATGATCAACCTGGATTTAATTTGACAACGTTCTGGTTTAATATCACAACCTAAGAGTCAATAAATAGTTCCAACACTTGAGGTAGTTAGGATTTTTGATATTCAGTGAGGAGTGCAGAGAGTCCAGAGACTTGATTACCCATCTATCTGAGACACCTACAGAGGTGAAATAGATGACAAGATGTGACCAGACTGATCACATCTAAGCAAAATTCTCCTCGGAGTCCAACACTTCTCTTGTTGTCACAATGGGCACATTTTAACTGATTTGAGTCAAAGCAACTTATTCATGCCGCTGTGGAGCTTTTCTTGATCTTCTCACCAAAACCTGCTCTGTCCCTCAAACACCCTGCTGTTAAAACCAAAACCACTTGTTGATGTTGGCTACCTTTGGCTAATTTGTGCAGAGCTCAGTACTGTACCTCCAGAGTTCTGTCTCCCTTTACATGGAGTTATGCAAGCCCTGTCCCCACTAACACATTTCCCTTTGCAATGAGGTGAGCTGAGAACACACAGGGCAGCAATGGCATTTCAGCAGCTGGGTCCCAACAGCACCGACAAATCACTCGGGTTGGCAGGACTGCATGCCCTAGTATAAGGCATGTACCTTCTAAACACCACATTTTTAATCATCTGGAGTGAACATTTGATCATTGTTTGTGTCAGTAACTTGCAGGAAACTTACTGAAAAATGTTGTCCTGCTTCTGCTGAATGGCTCCATCATCTTTGTCCAGGGATAGGTGAGGCCCTAATTTCACTCTGCCTGCTGACTTCCAACATGAAATGCTATAGCTAATAAAGATGTCAAAGTTAAAAGCCAATTTTCAACTTCTTGCTCCAGACACTTCTAAGTCTCTTGCATTGACTGCGTAACATCCATCTCCAGGCAACTCTATATAGCCTCGTATATCCACAGTGATGTAAAAGTAGCCACCACCTTGGTAGTACTTCTGTTACACCATTGGCATGAACTCAGGCTTTGCCATGAACTCATTTCCTTTTTCCTTTCTCATGACTCATTGTTCTACTAAATTGCAACTGCTGAGCTGTTCTTACCAGTTACACCCCCATATATTACCACTGGAGGCTAAAGAGGAGCCTTAAAGCATATTCAAAATGACAAGAGGAGGGTGAAAAATAAAGATACGTGTGCCTCCGTTTCATTATAACATCAGAGCACTGTATTCTACCAGGCTTTGGAATATTCCTGGGATAAATTACTGCTGAGGCAGAAAATCACTGGAGGGAATCTTGGGATTTTAATCAATCCGAACAGACATCTATCACCAGATATGTTACAAATCAGCTGATCCTATTCTTAAGCAACAGCTATTCTTAAAGTGACAAAAGGGAATAATGTAAAATGTGGGAAACTATAATTGAATATAATTCAATTTGCATGTGTTTCTCTTTTATTGGCTTTACTAATAAATAGAGTATTGGCAGAAGGTCTCTTTGACTGTGGTTACAACAATAGCAGATAAATACTGTCAATCAAACACCTGGAAACAAAATCACTGTGCTGGATAAGAAAACGGCACAACTGATGTGTTTTCAAGCCCACACTGATCTTTATCTTCTCCCTCATTCCTGCTACTCTTCCCCACGTAATTTAAAGTTCTGTTTCCAGTCTCTCTGTCAAAAAAGCACTGCTCTGAAGATGTAGTATAATCAGCAGCCCTCTCTGCAAGAAGCTGGGTGCAATTATGCAGTCTCCATAGATGATTCCTTTTATAATCAAAGCAAAAACGTGTTTTCATCCTGATTATCTAGCTGTTGTTTTTCATCTCCAAAGCATCAGTGCTTTCACCATAAGTATGTGGGGGGAGAAGCATTTGGGGGGGATAAATTGTTGTTCTTTGTATCTATTTTTTCAGAAAACTGATTAAAACAGCAACCAAAACCAAAGAAAACAAAGCAAAAGTATAAATCCTTGTAATTGAGCAGTGGGTGCTTGGATCTGTGCTGATCGCATGCACTGGCTGCTTGCTATAGAGTATCCATGGATCTTTTTCATCAGATGGATGGAATATCAATTAGTCCAAACACTCAGGGCATGAAACGAACTCCTTTGAATGGCACACAATTCTTTCCAGTGATTACAGCTGTGTTTCACTAAGACCTCTCTGGGCATTTTTTTGGATCATTGCTTTGTGTTTAATTGTGGGGAACTCTTTTAGAAAAACAAACAAAGAATATTTTGCTAGAAGAGAAAATAATGCTGAAATTGAACAGGCTGTGAACCAAATATTGACTCATTGAGAAAGGAATGTGGAATTGCAATTCCAATTTGCTGTTAATGCAGATATTCAAAATCTGCACATTGTTTGGAACCCGAGGCTTCAACCTTCAGTGTAGACTAAAACTGAAACTTCAGTGCAATTTCCTTCAGGGAGCCCTGGGTTGTCTCAAATTTTGCCCTCTTAAAGTCAAAGTACAGCTATTAAAGATACCAAAAGCAGTGTGCACTGTGGGGCTGTCTTCTCCTATCTAATCCCTCTTATGCCTCCCTCCCTTTGCCAGCTGAAAGGAGACAGATCTTTGGAAGCAGAGGAAATGTCCATGAATGTTCAGAGGCCATCCAGAAAATCAGTCACCAAGATGTTGTGTAAGTAGTGGGTCCTTCTGTCTTTTGTTTAGCATAGGCAAATATGTGCATGTTTACTTCAGACAGCTGAGGAACTTATACATAAAAACCTTTTGGAGTTTTAGTGAAATATTCAGTGACCAGGTCCTGAAATGAAAGCTACCAAGCAATAGACTTGAGACTGGCGCATTATGGTTAATGATCAAAAGACTCATAATCAAATTTTCTTCTTTCTCAGAGTGAAAATAAACTCTTAGAGCTTCCCAAGGAAGAGGTGAATTGATACACTGGACAGCACTCTGGACCACTGGTGTTCCAACAGCCCTGAAGCACTATGAATACTTCATAATTAAGGGCTATGTTTAAGCACAGTTCACCCTGCTACCGAGATGACGTTCATGCAGGAAACGTAGATCAGCTTCAATATTTCATGCTCCATCATTCTCTTAGGCAGCTTAACTCACCTTCTAGGACTAAGAGCTTGCACTCCAAAACCAGCTTATTTTTCTGTGCCCACAACTGTGCCAACCGATATTCACTGTACCCAGCTGGAACAGGTTTACAAGAATCCTTACTGGAGTCAGCAGAGGCCAAGTTCTGCATGGAGAACACATTCTCATTCATCCTGAATCTTTCATCCAACTTTCTCAACTAGCTTTGCTCTGTACTGGCAATTGAACCATGTCCTTGCATAACCAACTAACTTTTCTTCTCCTCTTTCTCCATGGCAGTTGTTCTTGTGATGGTTTTTGCTGTCTGCTGGGCTCCATTCCATATAGATCGCCTTTTCTTCAGCTTTGTTGTGGAATGGACTGAGCCTCTGGCTAATATATTCAATTTAATTCATGTGGTGTCAGGTAAAGCTTTCTTCTTCCATTTCCATGGGTGCTGGCAAAAAAACAGAACACAGTATTTGTGTTTGACTTGAAGTGTGTAGTCATTTATTTTTAGGTAACATGAGGCATGCATGAAAAAGCTTCTTGGATTTGGTAGACAGTGATGAGACTCGTGCCTTAAATAAATAAAAACATCTGGCAAGTTTCTGCAGCATTCAGGACATTGTCCAGTACAGTTGTCTGAATATTTGCAAAAAATAAGAGAAAAAAAAAGAAAAAGGATATTATGCATCATTACCAGCTGTTTTTCCATCTTGGAAACATTCAGAAATGAATGTTTTTGTCATTCAGCTGCTTCTAATGAATACACAGCAGCAGGCATCATCCTGCAGGAAACCTTACCGAATGGCAGGGCAGCAGACTTACCTCCTGCCCAGAGCTGAGTGATACAACCAAACATTTATGGCCCAACAAACCACAAAATGAGAGCTTTTTCAAGGAGGACGCTTCTTTTCAGTATGCCATGGGAAAACACTGAATGTGGCCATTATGCAGCTCAGACAGATTCAATCTCATGCAATCATCCTGGGGGTGCTGAGAGAAATTAGCTCCCCTTGTCTGGAAGTTATCTCATGGCAGCTGTGATGGGGCACCAGCTGTGCAGATCCCACTGTGGGGATGAGGGCTGTGCTGCAGGCAGGTCGGGACAGCTCGAGAGAGCTGGGTCTTGAACAGCTGGAGATGGAGAGCTCTAGCTAATAATATCCGCCACTTTCCTTTCTCCTCTTGCTTAATTCCACCCATGAATGAGGTCTCTCTATCTCCTTTCCCTGTAGGCGTTTTCTTCTACCTGAGTTCTGCTGTGAATCCCATCATCTACAACCTGCTGTCCCAGCGCTTCAGGATGGCATTCCTCAGCGTCATCTCCCCTGGCTGCAAGCTCTGGGCCCCTAAGCATGCTGCCAGCAAGACTGCTGCCCAGCAGAGCATCTTCATGGTCGAAGACCACAATCTCGTGGACTCTGCAGATGACACAAGCATGCCTGGCACCAACAGGACATCTGTCAGCAGTTCTCAGCTCTCCACTGGACTGTGATTTGCCATGGTCTGATGCATCCAAGGGAGGGAAGCTGAAGAAAATGACTGTGGGAAATAGAAAGGGAAGACAGCCTCCTGGAAGTTCGATTTCAGCAAGAGCTTGCAGACTGTGTTGTTGAATGAATGAATGAGGAGGCTGTCATTAGCAGGTTATTAATCATAGAACCATGGAATAGTTTGGGTTGGAAGGGACATATTTTATTACCCTCAAGATAACTGGAGGGATGGAAATCTCTGCTTCCTGGCTGCAAACTCTGCAGCAGGGACTTACTCTGCAATGCTACCAGCACAGGAGAGACACAGCTTACCCAAATCTTACATAAGAGCCTTTCCGTGCACCAGCCTGAAGGTCAGCTCTTACACGTGAGCAAGAATTTTATAAAATGCTGTGTCTCAAATTTCAAAGCACATTTGCTGTGTTTCAGAGAAATGCTTCTCTTGTGAATCATGGTATAGCGGTGGGTTTAGCCAGCACGACAGGCTCAGGCTTGGCATAGAAAATCATCCTCTGCGTGCCATCATGGGGCTGGGACTTCCATAAGGAGTCATCATCACAGTGAATAAGGACATCAGCTTCTGAAAGATGGCATACTGTGTGTGTCATCAAAGCTCATTCCAGTCTGGTCACTGGGGATCTAGATGACATTATCCCCCATAGGAGGAATGGGTTATATCCCTGCTACGGTGAGCTCTTACTTTGTTTTACCTGAAAGTCTTTCATTTTGTTCATGCCTGCTGGTAGCAGTAAGACCTGGGGGTCACACTGCAGCTGGTGACTCCCATTTTCCTGCAACTCAGGGGGAATTTTAGCTCATGTTTCCTAACAGAGTCATTTTACCAGCTGCAGTCTTGAGAGACAGCCAAAGAAAAGGTAACAGACACGCACAAGGCCCTGGAGAGAAAAGACAATTTCAGCTCCCCAAAGACACAGCTGAAATACTTTGCCACCCCCAAGTGGACACTCCAGCACTTCCCAGCTGTAGCCAGCTCTGCATTACCATTTTTCCCTTTACCAGTCAATAAATTAAGTCTGTTTTCCTGCTCCCAGTGAGGGGCTGGGATTCTCCCCTCACCCTACTTGTGCAACACTCTAACTGATCCCAGTGCATCCACCTGAGCTGCATGCCCCTAAATGCATGTATTCTGCACTGTCCTACACCCCAAACCAGTGAAGTGAGAGTGCAGTTCAACATACTCACACATCTGTCATACGATAGAGACACTCCTCTGCAAGATATTGTGGCTCTTTGAGTGCATTTCATTCATTCAGGTCCAGACAGTGTCTTGAGTTCTCTTCCCATTACAGAAGATTACAACCTTGGCTACAAAGCTCAAAGATGTCAAATGCATCTCTGTCTTGTGACCTGCAGGTGAGATGGGAAGCTGTAGGGTGAAGATTTTGTGTGGTCAGTCTCATAAAAAGTGCCACATTTTTGTTCCTAAGGAGAACAAAAGGCTTTGGGAAGCGTGGACAAAGAGGGAGATTTTTGAAAGAGAAGAACTGGGAATCAAGTGGCCAGGAACTCACCTTCAGTTTTGAACAAAATATCTTCTTTTTGGCCTGAAAGCAGCTTTTAGCATATCGAGTTTGGCATCACTCAGAAGAAATCATGCTTGTAACCAAAACTTATTGTGCTTTTTTGACAAAAAAAAAAAAAAAAAAAAAAAAAAAAAAAAAAATTTTAAATTGCATCAACAAAAGCATTCCTTGAAAACGTCACTGGGGGACATGCTGAAATTCTGCTGTTTTGTTAAAATAAATGCAGTGAACAAAATGGGGGCTGATTTGAGGATGGATGCCCCAAATTCTTCTCCTAAGACAGCACAGCTCAGTGCCCAGCTCGATCCCAAGTGAGGGTTCCTAAAGGGAAGTAAATGCATTTTGTCCCTAAGAAGTGTTCAATGTCCACTGGCGGCTTTTCTTCCCAAGAGGTCGGTGTCTGAGTGTTATTTATCACCCTGCCCTGTTATTTACCCTAGCTTGGAAGCTGGTCACAAACGTGAAAATACTGGGAAGATAGATAGACATGTCATGAAAGCCCATGATACTCCTTTATTTGTACGTTTAGCACTTCCATAGCCAAGTGCTGAAAAATGCTGGTAAATGGATGAGATCAACTCCTGCTGCAAGAAAGAGAGTTACAACTCACTTTCCCCCAAAGTGTGATGAAAATGTATTTATTTGAAGTCAAGCGTGACTTCCTAGGCAGAACTACCTATTGATTTATTTCTCTGCCTCTCTTCCCCTCTGGGAAACACGCGAGTGAATGAGCAGAGGTGCATGGAGCAACTCTCCAGCACTGTGAGCAAAGCATGGGCAGTTTGCAACGTGTTGTAAGGAAGTGCTTAAAGGGGAGAAGAATTGCCTGTGTTGTAAAGCGATACCCAGGTCCAGAGCCAAGTTTGATACTGAAAAAAAATCATCTTGACAGCCAAGTGACTCTACTGAGTTTATACGAAGAGGTTTTGGAAACTACGGTGTTTTCAATGTGCAAGCTGTGGCTTGTCAATAAAATTAAACATACACTTCAGCTGCAGAATTGGTTATGTGCATCTGTGTGTAAAATGAAAATAAACTTACTGACAACTCTCCTCTGATGTCTGGTCTGTCCTCCAGGGCTCCTTGTCCTGCTAATTTCACATGAGTGGCAAAAGATGAACATTTCCTGGTGGTTCAGCTTGCACCACACAGAACACTTAGGACTTACTACCAATCACAGTAATCCTTAAAAAAATAAATGCAAATGATTTCATCTGGTTTATATGCATGAAAGTACAGCACAAATCCCAGGGTGGATTGTTGTATCCAAAGTGCTCTGCTTCTTCAGTGGAGAAGGTTAAAAATTAGCATGGTTGTCATAACCAGAGAAGGTCCCAGAGTGAAAAGTGCTGCTTCCCGGGCTGTGTGACAGGTTTGCTCTCCCTATCTGCTTCTCTACAATAATTTGCTTCATTTTCTCTGCTGCCTATTAAGACACTCGCTGGGTTTTCCTCCACTGAGACTTCTTGTTCCACTAACTGGCAAATGCTCAGCAAATTGCTGGGCTGTAGCATTCCCCAGTCAAATGTAAATTCAGTTAGGGAAAATGATGGTGACAAAAACAGAAGAATAATATGGAGGTTTTCTTTCTGCAGTGAACTAAGGATGAATAATAAGACAAGAAATGAAACAACCTTTCACTCCTACCAGGATAAAAATTTGGTTTTAGAATCAATTCCAAGCAGATCCAATGATGGCAAAAGCCCTTCAGAGGGAAATGGGAGATAAAAGAGGTTCGGAAGAGATTCTGTAGTGAATTACCCTCTTTGGGCATTGCAGATGCCCAGGAAAGTAAACATGTTTGGGGTTGTTAGGGCTGAACTGTAAGGACTGTTAGAGACTCACTGTAAAGTCTTGCATGCAGAAAGGCAGGGATCGTTTTATTCCCCTTGATGTCACATTTTGGCTAGTCAGACAAAGAGAGTTTGGCCCATTTGCCACCAGAAGCAGAAGGCTGTTACTGCGTAGAGCACTGGAAAGATGCAGACTGTTTTTAAGGGAAATTATCTTAAATCCACTTAATTTTTAAAGACAGGATTTTTTAGGAGTAAGAGAGCTGTTGAAATAATTTGCTTCCCACTGGTATAGCTAATTCATTAATGAAGAACTGAAGTCTTTGTTATAAGTCCAAATAACTCTATTTTCTCATTCCTCTTCAGTTTATATTATGCTGTGAGATGCAACAAAGCTCCTTCCCAGAGGAAAAGGCTTTCGTTTGCTTTTTTTGGCTAGAAATGGGTTTTCTAAGAGAGACTTAATCTCAGAAGTCTACTACACAAAGAGGTCCATCACAAGAACCCTGAATTGCCCTCACAGCCAAGAAGGAAAAAGCTGTTTAAAATCAATTCATCTGACCTGTTTCAGACACCTACCTGGTCAGGTACAGGGACAGGTCATCTTGGAACTCTTTATGTTCTTTATTTCAGAGGCTGCAGAGCAGGTGTGTCCATCAGTCCCTTCCAATTTTCCCTGTTTCTTTGTAACACAAGAGATTCCCTTAGCAATAACTCACTAAGCACATCGTGCTTCATGTGAGCAAAGCAAATGGCTAAAAACGAAGTCATGGCAAAACACTGGGAAGAAGAGAACGGCATCCCTGGGGGCTCACCTACCTCTTCATTCATTGATCAGGGACTGGTGCCTCCGAGATGCTCTCCTGAGCTGGGGACTTCTGAAGAGCTAGGTCCATCCATCTGCCGTATTTACCCTCACTCAGTGAGAGAGAATCCTATCCGCAGACTTAATTCTGCTCTGATGGTATGACTGCAGGGTTTTTTGAGTGTCAACAAATAGCCAGTTCTCCAGAAGAAACCAGTCCCATTCCCAAGGTAGCGTATCCCTTCCCTTACTTTTATAGGCACTGGCAAAGGCAGGAAGGATATCTGACCTTGACAGTGAACACACTCAGCAGCTACCCAAACTCCACGGACAGGCTCCAAAGGGAAGGTTTTTCAGCATGCTGTTGACTGCAGTGCAGCTGCGTTGGGCAGTGCTGAGCAACTGCAGCAAAACCTCAGAAGAGCATCATGGTTTTGGGGAACAGAAGCACTCCACAGCCTTTCTGTGAGGAAGGAAATAAAACACCAACGCAGGCACCTGGAGATAAAGTTATTGTTTATTTAAATGCATACAAACTAACAGTTTCTGTTAGTTGGTTTGGTGCTAGGGAAATAATACAGGCAGAGGGTTTCCTTGAATGTGAATGAACTTGGCTAACACCACACAACTCAGCTTCCCCAGAGACCTGCAACATTTCCTCCCTGATGAAGTTACCCGTTCCGGTAGAAAAACAGACCACACATGTAAACACAGGTTTACATTACAGCATCAGTGCCAGGATCCTGCAGATACAGAGATACAACAACACCCAGTGGGGTGCTTCACAGTAACAACGTATCTCCCCACTCCTAGCCTAAAGTAATGCAAACCTGACTGTGCCTCTGCACAGAGCAAAGATG